AGGGTCTAGACCTCCATTTTTGCGCTCAGGTCAAAGTCTCGCGGCCCTCTATCATAATCCAGAGTTTTGAGAAGATTGGAGAAACTTGATTTTTTCACCCAAAAACGAAAAAAAACGTAAGGGGTAACACTGTCGTTTTTTTTTCGGGTCGAAATTTTGAGTTTCGATATCTCAGCTCTGGAAGGGTCTAGAGCCTCCATTTTTGCGCTCAGGTCAAAGTCTCGCGGCCCTCTATCATAATCCAGAGTTTTGAAAAGATTGGAGAAACTTGATTTTTCGCCCGAAAACGAAAAAAAACGTAAGGGGTAACACTGTCGTTTTTTTTTCGGGTCGAAATTTTGAGTTTCGATATCTCAGCTCTGGAAGGGTCTAGAGCCTCCATTTTTGCGCTCAGGTCAAAGTCTCACGGCCCTCTATCATAATCCAGAGTTTTGAGAAGATTGGAGAAACTTGATTTTTCGCCCGAAAACGAAAAAAACGTAAGGGGTAACACTGTTGTTTTTTTTTCGGGTCGAAATTTTGAGTTTCGATATCTCAGCTCTGGGAGGGTCTAGAGCCTCCATTTTTGCGCTCAGGTCAAAGTCTCGTGGCCCTCTATCATAATCCAGAGTTTTGAGAAGATTGGAGAAACTTGATTTTTCGCCCGAAAACGAAAAAAAACGTAAGGGGTAACACTGTCGTTTTTTTTTTCGGGTCGAAATTTTGAGTTTCGATATCTCAGCTCTGGAAGGGTCTAGAGCCTCCATTTTTGCGCTCAGGTCAAAGTCTCGCGGCCCTCTATCATAATCCAGATTTTTGAGAAGATTGGAGAAACTTGATTTTTCGCCCGAAAACGAAAAAAAACGTAAGGGGTAACACTGTCGTTTTTTTTTTCGGGTCGAAATTATGATTTTCGATATCTCAGCTCTGGGAGGGTCTAGAGCCTCCATTTTTGCACTCAGGTCAAAGTCTCGCGGCCCTCTATCATAATCCAGAGTTTTGAGAAGATTGGAGAAACTTGATTTTTCGCCCGAAAACGGAAAAAAAACGTAAGGGGTAACACTGTCGTTTTTTTTCGGGTCGAAATTTTGAGCTTCGATATCTCAGCTCTGGAAGGGTCTAGAGCCTCCATTTTTGCGCTCAGGTCAAAGTCTCGCGGCCCTCTATCATAATCCAGAGTTTTGAGAAGATTGGAGAAACTTGATTTTTCGCCCGAAAACGAAAAAAAAACGTAAGGGGTAACACTGTCGTTTTTTTTTTCGGGTCGAAATTTTGAGTTTCGATATCTCAGCTCTGGGAGGGTCTAGAGCCTCCATTTTTGCGCTCAGGTCAAAGTCTCGCGGCCCTCTATCATAATCCAGAGTTTTGAGAAGATTGGAGAAACTAGATTTTTCACCCGAAAACGAAAAAAACGTAAGGGGTAACACTGTCGTTTTTTTTTCGGGTCGAAATTTTGAGTTTCGATATCTCAGCTCTGGAAGGGTCTAGAGCCTCCATTTTTGCGCTCAGGTCAAAGTCTCGTGGCCCTCTATCATAATCCAGAGTTTTGAGAAGATTGGAGAAACTTGATTTTTCGCCAGAAAACAAAAAAAAACCTAAGGGGTAACACTGTCATTTTTTTTTCGGGTCGAAATTTTGAGTTTCGATATCTCAGCTCTGGAAGGGTCTAGAGCCTCCATTTTTGCGCTCAGGTCAAAGTCTCGTGGCCCTCTATCATAATCCAGAGTTTTGAGAAGATTGGAGAAACTTGATTTTTCGCCCGAAAATGAAAAAAAACTTAAGGGGTAACACTGTTGTTTTTTTTTCGGGTCGAAATTTTGAGTTTCGATATCTCAGCTCTGGAAGGGTCTAGAGCCTCCATGTTTGCGCTCAGGTCAAAGTCTCGCGGCCCTCTATCATAATCCATAGTTTTGAGAAGATTGGAGAAACTTGATTTTTCGCCCGAAAACGAAAAAAAACGTAAGGGTTAACACTGTCGTTTTTTTTTCGGGTCGAAATTTTGAGTTTCGATGTCTCAGCTCTGGAAGGGTCTAGAGCCTCCATTTTTGCGCTCAGGTCAAAGTCTCGCGGCCCTCTATCATAATCCAGAGTTTTGAGAAGATTGGAGAAACTTGATTTTTCGCCCGAAAACGAAAAAAAACGTAAGGGGTAACACTGTCGTTTTTTTTCGGGTCGAAATTTTGAGTTTCGATATCTCAGCTCTGGAAGGGTCTAGAGCCTCCATTTTTGCGCTCAGGTCAAAGTCTCGCGGCCCTCTATCATAATCCAGAGTTTTGAGAAGATTGGAGAAATTTGATTTTTCGCCCGAAAACGAAAAAAAACGTAAGGGGTAACACTGTCGTTTTTTTTTCGGGTCGAAATTTTGAGTTTCGATATCTCAGCTCTGGAAGGGTCTAGAGCCTCCATTTTTGCGCTCAGGTCAAAGTCTCGCGGCCCTCTATCATAATCCAGAGTTTTGAGAAGATTGGAGAAACTTGATTTTTCGCCCGAAAACGAAAAAAAACGTAAGGGGTAACACTGTCGTTTTTTTTCGGGTCGAAATTTTGAGTTTCGATATCTCAGCTCTGGAAGGATCTAGAGCCTCCATTTTTGCGCTCAGGTCAAAGTCTCGCGGCCCTCTATCATAATCCAGAGTTTTGAGAAGATTGGAGAAACTTGATTTTTCGCCCGAAAACGAAAAAAAACGTAAGGGGTAACACTGTCGTTTTTTTTTTCGGGTCGAAATTTTGAGTTTCGATATCTCAGCTCTGGAAGGGTCTAGAGCCTCCATTTTTGCGCTCAGGTCAAAGTCTCGCGGCCCTCTATCATAATCCAGAGTTTTGAGAAGATTGGAGAAACTTGATTTTTCGCCCGAAAACGAAAAAAAACGTAAGGGGTAACACTGTCGTTTTTTTTTCGGGTCGAAATTTTGAGTTTCGATATCTCAGCTCTGGAAGGGTCTAGAGCCTCCATTTTTGCGCTCAGGTCAAAGTCTCGCGGCCCTCTATCATAATCCAGAGTTTTGAGAAGATTGGAGAAACTTGATTTTTCGCCCGAAAACGAAAAAAACGTAAGGGGTAACACTGTCGTTTTTTTTTTCGGGTCGAAATTTTGATTTTCGATATCTCAGCTCTGGAAGGGTCTAGAGCCTCCATTTTTGCACTCAGGTCAAAGTCTCGCGGCCCTCTATCATAATCCAGAGTTTTGAGAAGATTGGAGAAACTTGATTTTTCGCCCGAAAACGGAAAAAAACGTAAGGGGTAACACTGTCGTTTTTTTTTCGGGTCGAAATTTTGAGCTTCGATATCTCAGCTCTGGAAGGGTCTAGAGCCTCCATTTTTGCGCTCAGGTCAAAGTCTCGCGGCCCTCTATCATAATCCAGAGTTTTGAGAAGATTGGAGAAACTTGATTTTTCGCCCGAAAACGAAAAAAAAAACGTAAGGGGTAACACGGTCGTTTTTTTTTCGGGTCGAAATTTTGAGTTTCGATATCTCACCTCTGGGAGGGTCTAGAGCCTCCATTTTTGCGCTCAGGTCAAAGTCTCGCGGCCCTCTATCATAATCCAGAGTTTTGAAAAGATTGGAGAAATTTGATTTTTCGCCCGAAAACGAAAAAAAACGTAAGGGGTAACACTGTCGTTTTTTTTTCGGGTCGAAATTTTGAGTTTCGATATCTCAGCTCTGAGAGGGTCTAGAGCCTCCATTTTTGCGCTCAGGTCAAAGTCTCGCGGCCCTCTATCATAATCCATAGTTTTGAGAAGATTGGAGAAATTTGATTTTTCGCCCGAAAACGAAAAAAACGTAAGGGGTAACACTGTCGTTTTTTTTTTCGGGTCGAAATTTTGAGTTTCGATATCTCAGCTCTGGAAGGGTCTAGAGCCTCCATTTTTGCGCTCAGGTCAAAGTCTCACGGCCCTCTATTATAATCCAGAGTTTTGAGAAGATTGGAGAAACTTGATTTTTCGTCCGAAAACGAAAAAAAAAACGTAAGGGGTAACACTGTTGTTTTTTTTTCGGGTCGAAATTTTGAGTTTCCATATCTCAGCTCTGGAAGGGTCTAGAGCCTCCATTTTTGCGCTCAGGTCAAAGTCTCGCGGCCCTCTATCATAATCCAGAGTTTTGAGAAGATTGGAGAAACTTGATTTTTCGCCCGAAAACGAAAAAAAACGTAAGGGGTAACACTGTTGTTTTTTTTTTCGGGTCGAAATTTTGAGTTTCGATATCTCAGCTCTGGGAGGGTCTAGAGCCTCCATTTTTGCGCTCAGGTCAAAGTCTCGTGGCCCTCTATCATAATCCAGAGTTTTGAGAAGATTGGAGAAACATGATTTTTCGCCCGAAAACGAAAAAAACCGTAAGGGGTAACACTGTCGTTTTTTTTTTCGGGTCGAAATTTTGAGTTTCGATATCTCAGCTCTGGAAGGATCTAGAGCCTCCATTTTTGCGCTCAGGTCAAAGTCTCGCGGCCCTCTATCATAATCCAGAGTTTTGAGAAGATTGGAGAAACTTGATTTTTCGCCCGAAAACGAAAAAAAACGTAAGGG